CCTAACAAAATATAAAGTTTGTCTCTTTTAATATCTACTAATCAATAAACATTCCATTTAATTTTCCACCTCTTTATTAATTATTTCTAGTGCAATGTCTCGAAGCATCACAATCAACAATGCCACCAAAGTTAGGCCTCATTGTTTAAATGTATCAACTTTACAAAAGGACCACAATATAAAGATTACCTCTTTCAATTTATTCTTTAAGTAAAATACTCATTGCATCTTCATAATTCATTAAACTTTATTGTTAACTCTTTTAGTATGTAAAGATAGATGTGCTTGCCAACCATTGTTTGCTGCTTATAGATAAACACCGTGTGACTAACTAATATACATATTGACAGCTTATGGTATTTTCTTATCAAGATTTAATTTGTGGGTTGTAAGGCACCACCAAGCTCCCTACATTGGCATCACCATATTAAAAGGTAATTTTTGCATTAGTCAATTTTATAACTCATCTTATCATAACTTGTTACCTTTTTACTAGAGGTATCTTGTTGAGTTGGATCATCTCGACTTGTAGAATAGTCGAAAAAGAATGTCTGAGTGGATGATATGCGTACTAGCTTGTTTAGTCCACAGAATCTTTAAGAGATTATACTTGCTCAATTATGAGTTTGAAATTAAAGTTCTTTGCTTGGACATACTATACTTGTTTAGTCCACAGAATCTTTAAGAGATTATACTTACTCAATTATGTACTGGCTTGCTTGGACATACTATAGTTCTTTGTTATGAAATTAAAGTTCTTTGCTATATACACCCAGGTGTACCGTACACCCAACTAACTCAATGTTAGTGTTTGCTCTTCATTTGATGATTAAATAAAAAATAATCATCAAAATGAGAACAAAATACCCATAAGTGTACGGTACACCCGCGTGTATATAACAAGCTCCCGACATACTAGGTGCGCTTACTAGTATATACTTCATGATAACATGACACAACATTTATTGAAGAAGGATGTACATCATACATTACCCCTTCACATTGTCATCAACCCAAAAAGTATATTAAGTTCACTGAATAAATTTTTTTGCAATTTATTAACTTGTACACTTTCCAAAATAAAAAAAGAAAAGAAAAATCTTGCAATTATGATTGAACAGAAGAATTAGATAACTAGTTGATCAACAAACCTAAAAAAAAACTTGTTAACAACAACTGGGCCGCTCTTGGTGGGCCAAATTTGTATCAAAACTATCAATTTTGTTGAATGGGCTAGTTCTTAGAGATTTCTCTTACAGTTGGTAACCCAATCATATAGGTGCTGAATATGGGCTACTTCTTTCGTGCATGTACACAATACAAGTCCAAAACAGTCCATATGGGACCTTATTACGAAGATTAAAAAATACTTAAGGGTCTGTTTGGAATCACCGTATTTCTTATTGTTTTCATTTTTTCTTTTTGAATGATACTCCATATGTAATATCTACAAAAGAATTAAAATTAGTGGATCTTAATGTTTTACTAGTAGGAAACTAGGAATTTTATAGTGAATCTTAATGTTTAACTAGTAGATATTAGATCAATATCACCACATCCTTTCTAAAGTAAACTTGTGTGAAATATAAAAAGAGGCCCTGCCCAATTAGGGAGCCTGACACTCAAATATATATATATATATATATATATATATAAACAATATCATTACACACTTATATAAATAACCTTAAGATTACACTATTACCCCTCAATCTGTGTCGGAGAAATCACGCGCAGATTAGCCTTTAAAAAATTCAAAACATCAACTACTAAGAGCCTTAGTAAAAATATCTGCTGAGTAGGAACATAACGAATAACAAGATCCCGTGAGCTACACGTTCACAAACAAAGTTATAATCAATTTTTATGTGCTTACTACGATCATGCTAAACTGGATTAACTGTAAGATACGGAGTAGAGACATTGTTACCATAAAAAATAAAAAATAAAAAAATAAAAAAAAAGGTTATGGTTTTGATTTTTGTAAAATTAAACGGCTCTGTACCATGTGAAATATGAAAAGAGGCTCTGCTCAATTAGGGGGCTCTGGCACTATATATATAAATAAATAAGTTTGACCACATTTTATGAAAGTCCGACTCACTTACTATTCATGTGGTCAAAATAAAATAACTTTAACCACATTTTATGAGCTATACAATATAAATAAATTAGCATGTGATATCACATTAGATTCTCCTTATTATAAATAATCCAAATATCAACTTTTTAAAATTTTCACTTATATACAACCGTAGTTATTCATGATCAAAGATGTTCATTGGAGACTTGCGCAATTGCAAAGTGAGTCGAACTTTTAAGAATGGAGGGAGCACACACACACACACAATTATTGTTACACAATCACAATATACTACCTTCATTTTATATTATTTATAGCTTTAAAATAGTTTATACTTCCTTCGTTCCACAAATATTGGAACAAGGATGAAATTACGCATCCCAAAATGTATTTTATATGTTAAATATCTATAATTATATAAGAGTAAAAATTATTAAAAGTTGATATTGTGAAAGTATTTTACGAGACGAATCTAACAAAACCCCACATAACTATATTTTATTTTACGTATAAGTCATAATATGTGGTCAAAAAAGCGTGATGAATAATGCAAAAATCCAGTTGTTGCAATATTATTAAAATGGAAGAAGAATTTCACCAATAATATTTTAAAATTGCAAATAATATAAAATTGAGGCAATATTCGGTAATAAGGATCAATCTTAATCCAAACAAAGTGTCTAACATCTCTACGGAAAGAAAGTCCCATCGAGATGTAAAGAAGAGAATTCAGGGGACAAAGTCGGTGGGCACCTTAGAGAAAAAGTGAGATTTGTCTTTATGTCCCTTTCAAGTGCACATAATATTGCCAAAATGAGGAATTTTTTTTTTGTAGAAGTTCAAAACTTCAAATACATGCAGAAACCAGATGGTAATTTCTCGTGCACTTTCGACTTTGAGAATATTTGAGATTCAGAACATTAGTCCTAGAAAATTCCATTGAAACTTAACAATTACCATTTGACCAACAAAGTGTGTAGCCCAAAAATTCTCATAGTTATAAACTCAACTGATGAATGATATGACTTATTATATGATTGATGATTGATTGATATAAAAAGGGGGTGATATTCAAATTGAGTTTTGTTTCATAAGGATACATAGATAATGGATGATGTTATATACTTTCTCTTTTTCTTTATACTTGCAATACACCTTCTTGACACGCTATTTAAGAAAATAATTAGCTAGACTAGGTAAATGATGAATTAAGTCATAATATTAAGCCGTAGTTACTTACTCCGTATCACTTTCTTCTTATTGATGGTAAAAATTTGTCAGTTAATTTATCCGTTTACCTAATAAAATATTTTCATGTTAGTGTTTGTCAAAGTATTCTATTGCAAATAAATAAAAATAGAGGGAGTGTATTATGTTATGATGCACAGTAAATAGGTACGAGTATAAATATTTTCTCCAATTGTCATTCTAAATAGTCGTGTTGAAAAGTAATTCTAACAAATTCCATTGTTTGCTAATCACGCTTTTTGAATCACATTTGGAATGCATAATGGCATAATGCCGATATCTTTTTTTTGTTGTTGTTTTTTTTTTAATAAAGTGGTAAAAGTCTTAAGATTTTTTTTTTTTTTTTTTTCTTCTTCTATCATGATGGCACATTGGCTTGCATTTTGCTCCTTTTTCACATGCGAAGTAAGAAATATATACGCAATTAATTGTAAAAACTTTATTGAAACTCTTTATCTATAAGTGAACTGTTTCACATTGAAAAAAGAGTCAAAACATCATCTTATAAAATAGAGGAGCTATATTTTTTTATTCTTTTTTGAGGAATCTGGTATATTATTATCATCACCAACTGATTTTAGTATAGAATCCCCTTATAGGCTTGCAATTGGAGTGAATTTATATCTCCTTCCTACATTAATTAATAATTAAAGGAATATAAACGCTACCAATATTTTCAGTAACTAATCAGAAATTAATTTTAATAGAAAGGATCGGATCGGATAATATTCGTTGCATGTATTGGTTTGTACTAACGATCATCTTATCATTGTTACTATGCAGCTAATAGTGTGTTTAGTTTGAGTTGAAGTTGAACTCTATATAATTTGTAAATTTGTATATATCGGCCGACAAAAGGGTAGGAAATGAACTAAGGTCACGGATTTTACCACAAAGTAACTTAATCATGTATAAAATTAAAATGGCATTAATGAAGATCATAATCCTTTATTGTTTATCTTAAAGAGAATAGTGACCTATTGATGAACGAAATCAATAATGCAACCAAATTTAAAAATTAATTGAATACAATTTTTTTAAGCCCAATAATATATTTGTTCAAAGAGGAGGGGTTGTATGACTAGCTTTAATCTAAGCTCATTGTTGGAAGTCCAATCTAAATGCAATTAATGAAGAAATTGTTACCACCCCCAATTGCATGTAAAACAAGCGAAATGTGGGAAGGAGTTAAATTAAAATAATACGTATATTGTCTTATCTAAAAGAGATAGAGGTAGAATGTCTAACATATATACGAATCAGTTGTCTGGCTTAGCCATGTCACTTAATGTTAGTTAGTTTCACAATGAAACAGTTATAATTTGTCATATATGTGCTTTTATGTTGTCAAACTTTGTTTGGACATAGACATATGTCATTCAAATGAAGATTAAATAGCTTATATCAAAGAACAAAGGGAATATAGTCATCCTTCTCATGAATTTCAAAACAAAATTAATTAATTACCGTAAATTAAAACTTGCTAACAACTAAATGATTTTTTAATGAAAGAGAAAACATCTGATGCATTAAACAAGAGACAAAGCGACATTTAATACATAATCGGGAGAGGTCTACACAAGGTAATAACACTCCCAACATTGTTCTACACGAAATGAAATTATTAATTAAGACGAGTTTAACAACGATTTATTACAACTTGTACGATTTAGATAGAAGCCTCAGCCGAATTCCCATCATAATATTTGGTAATATTGTGCTTAAGGTACTCCATATCTTCTTCATCCTCATGAAATGCTTGAAGAATTGCCTTTGTTGCCTCTGCCATAAACTCAGCCAAATCCCTGCAATGGAGCACATAAATGCATAGCAATTGATTAGTGATTTTAGATTAATTTCAAGAATTACATATATAAATTAAAAATTTAACTAGTATGTTGATAAGTAACGTGAACTACTTAAAATAATTACATTAATTAATTACTTATCAACATTATGAGATTATTCAACCATAAATATTTTACAACAATTTTACCCGAAAAATTAATTTTAAAAATTCAAAATTAAATAATTTTTTTTTTTTTTTAATTTAGGACTAACCCATTTTTCTTATTATCATATGATACCCCAACAATGTATCTACACTCCTCAAGAGCTTGACCAAACCTTTCAATCTCTTTTCTAGCCCAAGTACCATTATCAATAACTTGGAGTGCGGAGGGCTTCACATCACAAAAGATGGGCACAATCCTCTTCTTGCACTCTAACATCAAGGCAAGTTCATGCAAACAAAAATAAGAGTTACAATAATTTTCAGAGAAAATCGCTACCCCAACCCTGCATTCCTTGATTGCAGGGTCGATTTTCTCAAAGAGCCTATCCCCGGGTTTCATGCTCTTGCTATCCAAAAAGGGGTGGTACCCAAGACCTGAGAGATGATGATACAGAAGACCAGCGATGGTCTTCTTTGTATCAATCCCTCGATGGTTGATGAACATGTCGTAGGGTGGTAATTGGGTTGAAGGGTGATCGGAAAGGCGGCGGACTTTGTTAGCCGAGGCTAAGCCTTTGGTGATAATTGAACGTTGCATGGCTCTCTACCCTAGTTATTTTTTTATTTTTTTATTTTTTTTTAACAACACCCTAGTTATTTGTTATGGTGTTACTGTTCTGTGTAAAGTTAGTGAAAATGACAGGAGTATATATAGAGGGATTTTTCGGATTTTGCTTATTTTTTTTTAAAATATATATATATATATATATATATATATATATATATATATATATATATAATACATTATCCAAAAATTGGTGCTACTCTTGCTCCTTATTAAAAAAAAATTCAAAAATAAGTTCAGTTATACAAACATAGAGGTGAGAACCATGAGGGGGTGTTAAAATTTTCTGTTTTACTAAGGTGTCTTTGAATTGTGACTAATCTGAAATGCCACGTTACGTTAGCTTACATAAATTTTCGTTTTGTTTAGCTCTGAAAATAAACAAATGATTTAGCTAAATGAGTATAAAATAGCATTGGGTATACAACTAGAGATTGCTAATTTGAAGTGTTTAGGTATAATATGAAGTAAAAAAAAATTATTTGAGCTAACGTGGAATTATTTCACATTAATGACAACTAATGATATATAATGCATGACTTATTGACCCTTCTCAAAAAAAAAAAAAAAAAAAAACTTAGTTAATTAATGGGAAGATATTGAAGATCAGAAAAACAAGGAAACAAATCATGATTTTTATTATATTTTGTAGATTGTTATAAAATAAAATAGAAAATGTCTTGTTTTTTTTAATAATAGATAATTTGCCAATACCTACTATTCAAAATAATAATACTCCGTGATATATATATAATTTAGGAAAGAAATCATTAAATTATATATAGATAGAAAAATGATCTCCATTTAAGCTAATTGAAATTTATTTCTGAAATGAATTGATAATATAATATTTTTTTCCAAACAAAAATCAGGAATTGAATGTTTTTTGAAATAAAGATCATATTTTAGAATTGAAAAGTAAAAAATAGTTAATATTCGTTCTATTAATATTCGTTCTACTTAAACATAGTTGTTTTATTTTTATGAAACTAAACTCAATCCATTATAATAAGCTAGAAGTAATACGCTATTTATATCTAATATAGACGTTAAACATGTAATATGATTACATATCATATTGGATCGAATAAAAAAGCTTCCCATAAATATAATGTGATCATTGCATTGTATATCACAAAATGACAACTTTTTTGACACCAAAAAATGACAACTTTGATGCACTCTTTCATATGTTTGATACAGTCTTTCACCAGGGGGCCGGGTATATTTGTCGAATTATCGTATGTCAATACTGTTGTTTTTAAAAACTATTCATCACTTAGTTACAACTATTATATTTTTAAATACTCGTAAAATTTTGTTTCAAAATAATCAAATACTCTTAATATTAAGTAACCCTATGTAATATTTAGATCTTTAGAAATAAATACTTCAATATATCACATAGAATGAATAAATGAACTAATAGTGGACCTTGGACATAATAATAATGGCGTCCCATAAAATTTTCTCTTCATTTTGTTGGAATATTACCATTTATAAGGAATAAAGTTATTGCTAAATTTAGAAGAATAAAAAACAATAAAATCAGTAAAAATTCATACTACAAAACATCATAACAAACATTGTTAGAAAAGAATAAAGTTATTGCTAAACACAAACTATAGGGTGCGGGCGTCTGCACCCCAACAGTTCGTGCGTCCGTAGACGACGATGATGAAGACGACGATGACGATGACGGCAATGGTGGATGACGACGATGACGATGACGATCGGCGATTGAAACCTTAGATTTGAAGCAGCGGCTGGTCGATGGAGTTCCCTGCTGGCCTGGTTTGCGTGGTTGGGCACTCCACCTGGCTGCGCGTCTGGCTGTGGATGCGGCTGGGCTCCGGCAGGAGCTGCGATATGGGTGTGCAGGGTGCTCTTAGCAGGGGAGGGGTGGTGGCACGTAGTAGCAGGGGAGGGGTCGTGGTGGTTCGTAGCAGGGCAGCAGCAGGTTAGGCTGGTGGCTGATTGGGTGTGGCGTGAGGTTAGGGTGAGTGAGGTTGATTCGCGGTTTGGTTATGGGCGTGAGAAACAAATTAAAGAGAAAGGAAGAAAGAGGAGAGAGGAAGAGGGAGAAAAAAGAGAGAGAAAGAAATAAATATAGTAGTATCATATTAGCCAACAAATAACTCATATCAGCCAATAGATGTCTGATATCAGTCAACATTAGGGACATATCAGATACTAATAAAAACTTATCATCCAATAAAAAGATTATATCAGCCAACAAAAGATATATACATATAAGCCAACAAGAGCAACATACCATCCAACAAAAGATACATATCAGCTAACAGAAGGAATATATCAGCCAACAAATGGAGCTTATCAGCCAACAAATGGAGCTTATCAGCCAACAAAAGCAACAGGTAAGCCAACAAAATAAACATATCAGCCAACGAAATAAAACATATAAGCCAACAATAATTAAAATATACATATCAACCAATTAAAGAAATATATAAGATAAATGATGTCTGATATCAGTCAACAAAAGAAACCTATCAAAAATTAAAACAAAATATATATCAGCCAACCAAAAGAATATATTAGCCAACATAAAAAAACATATCAGCCAACAAATGAAACATATCAACTAACACATGAAACATATAAGCCAACAAGTGAAACATATCAGCCAAGCCAGCCGCACGGAAATTAACATGCGGGCATCCGCACGCAATAGCTTCTCATTGCTAAATTTGTACTTGCATACACCTCTATATCCACAACTTCAGTATTCCGTGATGACGTGATCGTGTCACTCATATCATAATAGAGAAGATAATGTAATATTAAATTATTAATACAAATACTTTAATGATGACAAATCGAATTATACAATTATTCTCAATACAAATCTCATAATTTTCATTTACATCTTCGCATTATTACAAGTAATATAATGAGGCATGAGCCAATCAAAAGAAAAAAAAATGATGAATCTAAGTGATCATAAACACAATAAAGTATTCTAGTGTTTATGATAATTACAACAACATCAAACAAAAGTAGCCGCAAAAACAACATAGTACAAATATTTGTCCTTGGAAGTAATCAACCTAACTAATTTTTAAAATCTGAAAATTTGTGTTAGCTTTACAAAGTACATTTACAAAGAAATAAAGAAATTTTGTCATTGTCGTTTATAATGTCAAAATTAATTAACAAATTGAATAAAGGAATTTTTTCAATGATCAAAGAAAAATAAAAGTGAAGAAAAGTTTTAGAAAGAATAGTTTTGATTTAGTTAGAATTTTCGGCCAAATTTGCTTCATAATAATTGGTAATATTATGTTTAAAGTACTTCTCATCTTCTTCAGCTTCAACCAAATTTCGAAGAATTGTTTCTGTTGCATTTGTCAAAAACTCTGACCAGTCTCTGCAAAGAAAGACAAGCATAACTATTATAGTTAGAATTCTATTTGAATTAGCTAGTCTATACAATAACACTTTAATTTAGTTTTTTTTTTTTTTTTTTTTTTTTGAAGAAATAATTTAGTTCTTTTTTATTATTATAATATATGCTCCGCTACTCTTAATTTTATCAATTTTAACTTGGTTTATATTCTAAATAGTTATACTATACAGAATTTTTACTCAATATCATTCTAAATTACTAAACTAATTAAAAACATATACCAAGTACGAAGTATTTCTCAAATGTTTAACAAGATATATATTTTTAGTACTATATATAGTACTACAAATATAGAAATAATATAGCTTACCCATTTGAGGTATCAAATGTTAGACCAACAATGTTTTTAGCCTCTTCAACACTCCTATGAAACCTCTCAAGTTGCTTGGGAGAGCAATTTCCATTATCCTTAACCCGGAGCTCCGACGGCTTCACATCACAAAACATGGGCACCACCTTCTTCTTGCACTCCATCATCAATGAAAGTTCATGCAAACAAAAGTACGATTCACAATAACGTGGGGAAAAAACCGCTACCCCAACCCTACAATTCTTGATTGCCGGGTCAATCTTCTCAAATAGCTTATCCCCGGGTTTCATACTCTTGCTATCTAAGAAAGGGTCGTACCCAAGACCTGAGAGATGTTGATACAGAAGACCGGCTATTGTCCTCTTCGTGTCAACCCCTCGGTGGTTGATGAATATATCACATGGTGGTTTTGGGTTTGATGGAGGAATACCGCGGATTAAGGGACGGAGGATTTGAGTTGATGAGGCTAGGCTTTTTGATATCATTGAGCGTTGCATGGCTAATTAGCTAGTGTTTCTTTTCAAGAGTTTTTTTTTTTTTTTTTTTTTTTTTTTTTTTTTTTTTTTTTTTTTTTTTTTTTTGCTGAATATGGTACTAGATTGTACTTTTTTTTGCACCTTTTCAAAAGTTAAGTTGTACAATTTCAATTTGGTTTTGTGAATTTTGTTGTCTATTGAGGATATGATGATTTTACGTTGTTAATTGATTATGAGATGTATGCATATATATATATATACATAGATGCAAGAATGTTGGTCCATTATTAGGAGTACTTTAATTTTGAGCATTTTGATTTCTTGAATGAAAATTCAACAATATTTTCCAAGTGATGGTCGCACTTTAGGAAATTTTGACAAGAAATAAGTTTTAGAAGAGGAAAAACAAAATAAAAGGTTTGAAGATTTTGACTGTTTATGCAAGACTTAATTCGTAGGAGCGAGCAAAAAGAGTTTTGAGCTTTTGACTATATTTTAGGACCCATAATTGGGGATAGTTTTACTCCTTCAAACACGGATAATTATATATGTTTCTACTAATGCATGTAACGACGGCTAATCAACTATATTAATTTTTATACACTAAATTAATAAGAAGGCCTCTTAAAATAATAATAATAATAATAATAATAATAATAATAATAATAATAGACAACAAGACATTGATCTTCACTAGGGTAGGCTTTGCTATAACTAGAGAAGTGGGGGTCCAAATTGTTTCTCGGCTTCCCACTAATTTATTGTAGGTTGTATGACTTTGTCAGCTTTTGAGATAATAATAATAATAATAATAATAATAATAATAATAATTATTATTATTATTATTATTATTAACAAGAAGGATTATTGAAGGGTTAGCCTGGCCACACTATATGTGGTATTGTGGTGCATGTGAAGACCATCAATACATACATTTTATTATTACGAAGAAAAAAAAAACAAAACAAAAAATCCTAAAATAACATGTATTATGAATTAACCATTGACGTGGGTATTTAAATAAAAATCATGAGATCAAAATTTAAGTAAAACTACAATAATGACTTATTAAATTAATTATTCAAATAGTTTTTGTCATATATATATATATAATTACTCAAATACTATTGTTAATGAACATCCCTTAAAAATAATGTAAATGATTATTTTAAGTGCAAAAAAAAAAAAAAAAAAAAAAAAAAAAGAAGTCATAATAAACTTATGTGTGAAACCCTAACCAATTTATTTATGAATTAGCGTGGTTTTTAAATTGAAAATGAAAATATAGTATTTAAATAAAAAATACAACAACGACTTATGCGTACTATAAATAAATTAAGTGTCTAATTAGTTTTTGTCATCTACTTACTCAATATATTATATAAAAGGTTAAAGCATGGTATTCAATTAATCAAGGCCCTAAATATTGAAGCATGCATAAAATACAAAGTATTCAATATATATAATTATAAGTTGAATTTGAACACCTAAAGTGATTTGATTTTGATTTTCAAAAGTTTGTAAACACAAGAAATGAAATATTCTTGTTTGTGGTAAGACCACCCATGCCATGTGGCCCAATAGCAAGATGACACGTGTCAGCCCCCCACAGAGGCCCAATGAGATCCAATCGGATGCTGACACGTGGCACAGTAACCCTAATAGGGGAACAAATCTTCTTCTACTATAAATAGAGGAAATTCCTCATTTATTATTCATTCATGCACTATCATAAATACAAGATACAAATACCGAGCAATATTAATTGCAGAATCTCCTGGAATCCGAGAGACTATTTACTTTCCGCATACTTACTCACTCAGACGTATTCTAACTTGATCGTCGGAGGCGGAACTCCAACCAACCGGAGTCTCCGTGCTTTTGCAGGTACAGGCAATCGGCTACCAGTTCTGGTGTTGTAACTCTCCCGCATGACACATAAAAAACCCCGAAACATTGGCGCCGTCTGCGGGAAAAGTACTTCCAGAATGGCATCCCATGAGTCTGTACCACTTAATAATGAGAAACGGCCTCTGGTCGAACCTAAGGTCCATACGGACCAAGATAGTGGCGACGACCAAGAGGTCGAAGCCTACATGTCCCCAGACGGGTCGTTCAGATCCAGGCGCCCCCGTCCCAAAGAAACAAGGGACCGGGATGACAAAGGTCTCAGCCACCCAACCGGCCAGCCAGCTGGGCAAGCCCAGACGGCTGAGGGTGCTGCCCCTGTAACTTTGACCTACAAATTTGCTGGTCAAACGAGTTCGTGTTAAATCGGGTTACGGGTTAAAAAAATTTTGTTCAATACCCACAAAACGGGTCGGGTTCGGGTCGGATTTGCGAGTCGGGTCAAAAATTGACAGGTCTAGTTGCAACTATAAAAAAAAGTAGGAAGTAGTAGTATTAGACTTTTTTTTTTTGAACAAAAACTTTTTAAATATTTTTTCTATACAAAAAATCGGAATTCCCATACTTCAAAGTTAAAAAAAAAAAAAAAAAAATCAGAATTACTTGTTGATCATGGAGTATTAATTGTAAACCAATAAAACCATTTTATGTATTTATTTTTATTTTTGAAAAAGAGTCGTGATTTCGTGAATGACAATTGACAAATAGTCAAATACACAATACACTGATGCACTACGTAATAAATTCATTTTTTTTTTTTTCCATTAATTGTTTTGGAGCTTTGCATATGAGCAAAGATTTTATTTTATTTGTATAAGTTATACGTTCTTTTAAATTTTAACCAGCTAAAAAGTTGAATGCATTGTATCAATGATGCATTGGTTGTTCATATTATTGTAGGGAGTTTGAGATAACATAGTGTTTGTTACGTATAAATGAAAGTTTAAGATATGGGATGTGTCATTACGACGAATAAAGAAGGTTTAAGATATTGGATGTGTCATTACGAATAAAGAAGGTAAAACGCCTAATATAGACTTGGCATTAGGTTCTACTTTACACCAATTTTTAGATTGTATATTCAACAAAGTTACTTGTAATAAGAAATACTCGTACTAGCTTTGTCTACCCCTCCTTTTTCCAAGGCCGCCATGTAAGTGCCAAGGCAATTAGTGCTAGACCTGCTAATGAAACCGTCGTAGACACTATTGCAAGTCGTGCAACCATTTGTATGCTTGAAATCAACAAGGCTACAAACACTAGTACCAAAACGAACCTATCTATATTTACATGCTGCTTGATTGGTTTCAGTACTATAGCTTGAACTGCTGGTTCCAACACCTCATTGGCTACTGCTTGGATTGCTGCATCCATCGGCCACATGTTGGATCGAGTACTGCCATATCCGGTTTTACTGCAGGCTTGTTTCCACCTCCACCACAACCACCACTCGACTCCTGGAAACTCATCTTGATTGCATTCTTGGCCTTCATCACCTCCGTGATCTCCTCCATTTCCATTGTTGTTGCCATTGCCCCTGCTGTTACCATTGCCATTACAGTTTTCGGCATTTCTGCCATCTAACCTGCATACACTGTATGACAGTATCAGTCAGCAGTACTAAATCGTACAATCTGTGAACTTTAAAAGGGAAATCTGTCTAAAACCATCCTATATCAATACACTATACACAAGTAATCTGCAGACCCTTTCCCAACCATCTTCTTTTGGAAATGATTGCCCAATTCATATTATTAACTCGTCTTGAAGCAGGCCAAACTGTTGTTAAGTATAAGAAAGTCGAAATAAGGAAATTTTATGATTTTTGACAAAATTTCTGATTATGCATTTAGTCAATCAAACAAAGAAAGTGACATCAATTATCTGTTAGTTAACTCTTAAAACAAACATTTATCAATAGCAAAAAATGTATAAAAAAAAAATAGAGATCAAGTGTGGGTTAAAAGTCTTACTGTGAGCTTTGTATTATATTTACAAGCTCTTTCTTCTCTGCATCATCACCCTTTATTGTCTTGTTGAAATAATGATCTGCAAGCTCACAACGTCAAAACTGGTGCTCATCGTAAATTGAGAAGTACCTTCTTATTAACTCCTTTAAAGGACTATCATTCCTTCTCTTTATGGCCTGCAACTTTATTATTGACACACCAGGTTTCTTCTTATTAGTTCTTAGTATTATTTCACATGCAGAACTATGTAATGGTTTGAGTTTAAACAAAAACTGGATGTGATGAAGTGCAGAGGACATTACTTGTGACTAATGCTAGGTAGAAGAAACTAAAGTTCGCGCTACATACAATTTGATAAGAGTGATAATAAACAAATCATGAGCTGAAATTCCTTAAGTAAAGTTTAAGTATTGATTACAATATAACCTGTGGCTTTTTTGCAGGCATTTTACTTTCAGAATTGGTCCCCCCTTCCCTGAGTTTCTTTCCCAAACCATTATATTATATATATAGTTCACCATACTTCCCTTAACTTCTCCCAATCTCCTTTTCTTCTCAGTATACTTTTCCTTTTCATTAGCAAATATATGGTAGGAGATGTTTGCTTCTTTTGATGTAGCCAATATTCGGTTCCTCGTTGCAGCCTTTGAGGTTTCTTGGTGCCCTCCTGAATTAACTGTTACATATTCATATTACTACTAGTTTTTATTACATTATGAACCTTACTATTAATACAACACTTAAGGAGTGGCATATACTAGAATAAAGACAATAAATCAAGGTATATGTATTTAAGTTTTTTTGGGACAACATGCCTTTTGTTTCCCCATGATCCTTTAGGTGCACTTATGTTCCTTTCCTCAAATTCTTGAATTCAGTCTTAACTTCCTTGTTGTTCCATCCCTTCCATATTTAAAAATGTTTATATATTTATAATATAATGAAATATACCCTGTAAATCTGTAATTATAATATTTGATTGATTGATATATTAAAGTGATAAAAGTAACATTGCATTCATATCCTAAAATGACGGAAACGTATAGAATAAACTCTTTTTGGATTCATTTTAGTTACCATTAAATGATTTGAGACGAAGAGAGTAATTTATTTTTTTTATGCAATGAAAGCAAATTTGAGCTTCCTTTAGCTAGGCTCTTAAGAGAATATGTCAGTGCACGCATAAACACCAGAGCACACAAGTAGTCAAGGTCAAGTAATACGAGCATTACCATTAGCAAAGTTTGCATATAGGCTTGAAGTGAAATGCACTCTACTCTGCAACTCAGACTCTCAATTTACGATCCTTAGCTGGTTTATCTGAAGGTGGTTGTAACCATATACAAAATGTCAAAATGCTCCAATCAATCTGCTTGATCACAGAATTCACAGGAAAGATGACACATTCAGCTGTTTGTGATGACATCTACATGATCTGATCTAGCCTCTGGGAAACCATTGGTGTAAGCATTGAATCAATGCCATCAATGGCCCATGTATAGGGGTTTCAAGGGGCCCTTTATCATGATACTGTAAGCATATGCTCCGGCCTCTGGTCTGTAGATGGAGTACATGAGCTGGCCAAGCCCTGAGCACTGCCTGTGTAATTACCTTGACCTCAGTCAGAGAACACAACATACTTAAGAAGGGCAGGAAATTACATGGCCTTGGACGACATCCTTAGTTATATGACACTGATAAGCGAGACAGCTAACTTTGAACTTTCAGGCATGATCCCTTACAAGATAGCTTACTCAGGCAATGCTAGCAGCCGTCTATTTCAGAGCTATCTCTCACAATAGTTGTAGAAGGTACCCAACAAGGCAGGATTTCCATGATATGCGCCACATCAAAGAGTGCAAATCTCATGAATGCAAATGCGACATAGAAATTAAATATTTAGTTCCAAATGCCGCCTCTCTATAAAAGCTGTAAGCCAAGATTATGATTATGATCACACAGGTGAACATGCAATGATACAAATGCCCAAGCACATCTTCTCAAGCAGGTACATACCTTGCTATTTATAGATAGACTGACTGCATATTTCTTTATATCATCATTAAGAACATATTGGAAGTAGGCAGTACCGTTGCAAGATATACCTAAAAACCCCCTTGCTTCCCCTCCCCCTTTTCTTCCAAAGTACTTTGTTTACTTTGTACTTTCAACGCCCATCCCCAATACAAAGTTTACTCCAGATGATGTTTCCAGTTAGTTTCAGCAGCCTGATATAACTCAAGATATCACATATTGCTCCTCAGTTCTTGTCCTGAAGTATTGTTAATCGATGAAACTACCATTGATTGCATTTTTCCCATGCCTGCTTGCTCGCTTCTGAACAATAGGCTCAATCTGATCTTGTTCATCCTTATAGCAAATTTCCTCTGACCTGAAATAGCTTTGCATTCTGTAGCCCTCTGGTGCACAATCTGTGGGCATCTACTCAAATCTATGACAAAAAGTCATGCGACTCATGTCACTTCTACTTTTACTATGAATTTGACTCGTAAATGCAACCTCAGATTTGAAGAACCATGCATGAAGTAGTGTTTAGACTTCTGATATATGTATTGCATTCTGCAGAGAAGTAGGCATCACAGTATTTCTTGGCTTGCGAGTTGAATATTCATCAGAAACAAACAACTAAGATCTCAGAATGCAGGAAAGCAGGCATCACAGCGCCCCTTAACTTGTGAATTGATGATTCATCAGGAACAAACAACTAAGTTTAACTTATAATTCATGTACAGCAGAGATGTGATTAATACTATGTGTGCAATTGATTAATGGACAAATAAGTTAATCCTTCATGGGTCAGCCTGTATCTCCTTAGCTAGCTCTTTTGCCAACCTTTCAGCGCGCTCATCTTGCCCTCCAGCAAAAGAATACACTTTAAAAGAGAACTGGAAAGTCCTCCAAAGAGTTTCGGTGTCTATTTTCTTGTGTTGATTTCTTGCTTTTGCCAAAGTTTGATCATTTATTTCTGTCTTAGCTTCCCTCTTCTCCTAGGTGGAGAAAAGTGGAAAACAGCCAAGTTGAGGGAATCAAGAAGGGTATATATGTTTATTTCAATAAAGAAGCTAAGGTTAGCTGGAGATTAACAAAAATAAAAATAAGTGGTTGATTTACATAATTACCTTGAGAGCCAGCTCAATGCAGCTCGATGAAACATTCACCATGGCTTCCTTGATCTTTAAGATAATGTTGAAGTCCAAGTGGATGCCATGGCTCTGAAATTTCTTTTCTTCTTCATCTTTGGTTCGTTCTATGGCTTCCATTTCCCCTTTAATCTGCATTAATCTTCTGTTAGTGAAATTTTGCATCAAAACAAAACTATTACCCCCTTAATTGTCCCTTTTCATTGTACTATGTTTTAAATTAACTCCCATACATATCCATCAATATTTCAGCTTATAAATTCACTTCACTTCTCTACAATAACATATATTTCCCATTGACTTTGTCCATTTTCTTTCAGATGTATGAAAATCAATTAGGCAAATTATAATGAATAATGCATTGGTTTAAGTTGGATAATCAAATAACAAATGCTTTTGTTATATGTAACTACTTTATATATATTATCTGTAATAACCCCTTTTCATTCATTCCCTGGACCACCACATAATTGATCTTAAGTATGCTAAGTTCTTTGAAATCCTATAAGATGCTGTTGGCTATTGCTTAAACCAGTGTACACAAAAAGCTGAAATGAATACATAGAACTGATAGATGCTGTTAGTTAAAGCTCAGTTCAAAATTTTTGTGCTTTGTGTTGTAGTGGTGACAACAGTAGCTAAGATTTCAAATACTAGTACAAAGTATATGAAAATGTATCTCTCTTTTTCAGTTACCTTGTTGAAGTATTTCTCAACTTTATCAAGAAGCTGAGCCAGAGGTGACTCGATTTTCCAGTTATGTAGCTCAGATAGAGTTGCACTCAGTTTTTTGTATAGCACTGCTGCCATCCTCAAGGCATCTAATTTCTTCCCCGGGAAGCCTTCAAACCTCGCTAGAACCTGTTGTACAAGAATACAAATCAATATCATTTGACTACAAAAGCAAGAGATACACTAGCATAATTATTGATCAAGATTAAGACCTGGCTTTCATCTGTTAGGACATCGAGTTTTGATTCTACTTCTTGGTAGAACATAAGCAGTACATCCATGTCCTTTGTTTTGAATGAGCTAAGAGAAGATTGAATCCCCTTAATTGTCTTATCATGTGTTCTTACATCTTCTTCAATTTGCTGGAAGTAAGTTGACCTGAAATAAGCCACAGTTAAACAAATTTTGAAGAGACATATTATTGAAAGTAAGCTAGCTACGTACAGTCATACCTTCTGGCTATTTCTACTAGTGCATCATTCATGCTTTGTCCACCATTAGATCCGCCATTACTCCCACCACCCGTCTTCCTTCCTCGAGATGATCCCTCACCTAAACAGGATCCTTCCATCAACCCCCTTAGGAGCCGAAATAAGTTCCCCATTTCAGTAGACCTCTTTAAATTTGTTGTGGCTTTCTTCTTGCCCATAAACTTCGATGGAGGTGGTGGCGGGCCACCTCCTTTTCCAGACAAGGGAGGTGAGGGTCCACCTCCATTTCCAGGCATTAGTGGTAGTAATGGCTCATCATCTTTACCAGGCAAAGGTTTGCCTGTCATAGGCGGTGTAGCACAAAGTTCACTAACCATTTTTTTTTTTTTTTTTTTTTTTAACCACGCAAGGACCTTCTGATTTTGATAAAACCAAGAGAGGATGTACAATTTTTTGCAATCTACTACTACGTGGTGGTGGAGCTACACCCCTTTTTCCCACCTTATTAGACTATATCGTCGGAGATGTCTGGGGTGTAGCTCCACCAAAAGGCGATGGATATATGGATGGAGATGGAGGTCTTGTGTTGATTGTTGGCGTTGGATGGGGGGAAGTAGCTAGTACATCTTCTATATATTGTGATTATGCTTGTATCAGAAATTGACCAAATTGTCATTGATGCATTCAAAGAAATTATAACCAAGTAATATAAATATAAAATGCTACCGGGGGTTGGCTGGTAGATGTTCAAAACTTGAATGAATCAATGTGAAAGACTAATTTTTTATTTTTTTTTCCCAAAAGAAATTATTGATAACAGTTTATTTCTTTTGATTGAACTTTGGATATAGATTTTTTTAAAAAAAATACATACTGCATACCTGGCCGAAGATCTTCTCTTCCTGAGAGTTACTTACTTTGCACAGTTTATTAGTCACGTTACTACTTCACATGATACCGTCAAAGTGAATGCTAATTTTTGACAGATTGGACACACAACAAATAAAATAAAGCATTTGCATCCAATAAATGTTTTCTTAGCTATTAAGGACATGCACCTTTCCACGATCATCAGAGATATCAAGCCAACAATAATAATAATAAAATTAGTCATTATTATTATCAGTTATAATCATTATCACATGTTATATTTATACGACGTATATAAAAAGCAATTGAAACATTAAATCATAAGCCGCGTTTATCTCCTTGTAGTATTTTATGTCAAACCATCATTCTTGTGTATATTTATGTCGGATCCAACCAATCACGAATATATTATGCAAGAAGCCACTTGACAAAATATTCTGCAAATCTGATTTACTATTCTATAATATATTTTCTAAGTTCTAACCATGTATATCATTTCTTAATACTCTAATATATTTGTTCCATACTCAAATGGCATGTTTTTAGGACAGTGAAAACAAAGAGAAATAGTGAGTACATAGTTACCAGTACTTGCCCGTTATCATTCTCAGTGAGTCATTCTGGAGTGAAAACCACCATTAACTGCACTAAGAAGCACTGCTTTAAGTGTCAATGTTTCTCGAACCACTGCACCACGCATCACTGTATCATACGGTTGTACAAATTTTCCGAGCAAGAATGCATGATACATGTCAGATCAGAACAACTGTCCTTGACAAAATTGCACAAGTTGTTCATGAGATTTAGGAGTCAAGAACTCAGGACAGTAGACTTTCACAATTTCCTGCTGGATTCAATCTGATCTGAGATTCTGCATTTGCTGTGAAATGTACAAATAACCTTGCATTCTTTTCGAGTAGTTGAGTAATGCTGTTGTCGCAGTTACCCCCCTAATAGTATCACTTCTCTGTTTCCTCTGGTACTGTCATACTGCATGCTGCAGGTTCTGATGAAAATTAACGGACTAACATATTTTGTGATTAAGATCGAAGAATCCATCTTTGGGAGAGCTGAAACAAGATTTAACGTATAGTATTACAAAGCATAAATTATTGTGTGTAAAGGAAATAGAATTTAAATACTCAAACAAGCATCTCATATTCTCATGTAAGATTTCATATGTTCCTTTTCTATACAAAAGTTGTCCATCCTATATGATTCAACAATGGAAAAACTCTTATTTTTGTGTTTCGGGGTGATGTATTATCTTAAGAAAAAAGAAGTCCTTAATACTTATGCAGGAATATGACAAAAGAATATTTCAAAATTCCATCCGATCCTACATCAGTGCCTGCTCCTATAACCCAACCTTGAGTGTTCAATTTGGTTACCTTCTTGCGGCGAACCAATGCTCGACTTGACAGACTCATTCAGATTTAATCCATCTGTTTTCGAAGATCAATCAGAAGCTAGAAAACCCAATATCTTCACTATTGTCCACAACAATTCAAGAAACCAATTTAACAATGGACTTGTATAAAGAGGGATTATGAAAGCACTGCTGCCTCTTGTTTCTGCGCCAGCTTTGGTCTGGCTTGCACCTTCAGCTCAAATTTCATCATCCACAGTTTTATCTTTTATGCAAACCTTCCGATCCTGTGATCACCGACTTTATTAAATTATTGTTGATCATAGAGTGGTCATAGCTATCATAGTATTGATATCCTCCAAGAGGGGACTCTAAGCTTATAGCTACAAGCATCATAGAAGATAATAAACTCTCTGTTGTAGCTATGACAAAAATCCTAATCTTAAGGGACATGAGTCACATGAGTATGTACAAGTATGAAGCGGATTGTTGGAGTCGGCTGTGATCCTAGTAATTTTACTGCTATCCAGCATACGACATAGGCAACATGCATATCACGATTTAAGAGCTTGCATACACATGAAAAGAAGTAGCTAGTTTTCAATAATCAACTAATCAAATGCATATCATCTCCAATGTTCTCCCCTTGTCAATGCTATATCGCCTTTCTTTGTGCAAGGGGTCCATAAAATACAATATCTCATTATGAAAGGATTAATGATATATAAGGTGTAATAAGAAAATTTTAAGGGGATAGCTATCAATAAGTATACACCACTAGATAACAGCAAAGCATTATATGGTGCAAAGAAGAATTACCAAAATTTGTCTAACTTGCACTCTTTCAGCCTCACTTTCCGTTTCCACAAGACATTCTCAACATCCAAAGCAATATTGGACATGTAGAGGCCAGAAAGGGCCTCCAAAGTGAAGATTATGCCAGTTTCTCTTTCACCAACGGCTTCAGCAAGCTCACATTTAATTTCCATATTTCGCTGCAAATTTCCTTACTCAAATCTACACCTTGTGTTTTCCATCAGAAGTGTGAACAATATCTTATGAAACTCCTCCAACAAACCTAAAGAGGGAACTTCAATACAAGAAACTACATGAATAAATGACCCCTGAAAATCCCTGTGATGAACAAAAAACATTCATCACAGTTAGGAACCAGACCAAAAGCTTGCTTCTAGATACAAAGATTCAGCTAGAGAAGGTTGGATACGTATTATTTGTACATATAGAAGACAACATTTAGAATCATCCTTGGTAAGAGAAACTTTCCAGAGGAGCTCGAGTTTGATCATCAAACACCCTTGTGCCTAGTATCATGTATTGACACAACCATGATGCATACAAAGATTCATAGTATAACAACTACAGGAATTAACTTATGTAAGTAGCCTTAATAAACTGTAACAATCTCCCTGAATCAGAGGCGGAGGAGAATTGGCACTCAACTCAACCCAAAATCCTTAGAAGCCTCTCCATTTTTTTCTTTTCTATTTTTAAAAAAATTCCCTTTTCTTTCAACTTTTGTAGTCTTTTTCCTTCTTTTTAATAAGATTTGTCGCTAGGAAGGATTGAAAAAGGGGTGTGGAAATTTCATTCAACAAACAAGACAAGGCATGAAGAAATTTGATAAGATCATTAATTTATATGGTCATTTTCTCAGTTTGTCACGATTACTCTAATGTAGTGCTGCAGCCATGAATTAGCTGGACCATGTTCTTACTAATTCAATACCTACATGCCTTGCACCAATGCTTAAGATATTTGACCGTGACTTTCGCATAAGGCAGGACATATACAATGCATGATTCAACATGGAATTCATGGAGCTAATTGATCCAAAGAATGGTCTATGTCGTCTTAATGAAGTTTCTTCTAAGCTTCTTTAGTCCCTTTCAAATTATGCATGTTGGCTACCAGTTCAGCTAATTAAAGATTGCTTTTGTATAAACCTGCTCCCTAACCATTAAACTAAATTGTGCTGAACAGTCAAATCTATCAAGGTCAAGCTGTTTGCTTCTCCAACTTTTAATTTGAAAATTTGAAATTTCATTTTTATTCAATATTTTGTTGTTGACAGAATTTCAAGCCGCAATTTTTTTTGTTACAAGTTTACTATTTTCAACCCTGCTTGTATTACAAGCCATGTTGACAACATCCAAAATATTTTCCATTATATTTCATTTTCTTAGAAAGTGACTTAAAATCATAAAGAAATCCAATATCACAGAGTTATCAGATTTACTTCTTCGATTATGTATGTCTTTGAAATTGAGGCAAAATATGAACTTATTTATATGATGTTGACAAGAAATGAAATTTTAGATCAAGAAATTATACAATATTCACCATATAGTTGCAAATAATATTTTTAGATTTCCTGATGAATCCATAGATATATCACATATACTACCTCCATTAAATATTAGTTGCAACTTTGGGTATTATTTGTGAGATACTTTGTATAAAATATTTCAAATTTGCAAATATTTAATGGAGGTAGTATATGACTAAATTAGGTAGATATTTCCCTTCAAATTAATTAAATAAAATCAATATATATTAAAAAAAATTAAAATAATTTGGTCCTAAATAAAGGGCAATTTTATATGTATAATGGATTGTACGCTTGTACCTTGTCCATGGTACAACTAAGGTTACGATTTGGTGTTTTTATTTATTTTTATTTTTTTTTACACCTTGACCACATGAACCAATAAATAGTTTTGGTTGTACTAAACCTACTGTACAATGAAGATACTCATAATATTGTCTAATGCATACAAATCAGAATTTAAATCGACTGAGCTCAATATATAAAACCAGATATTTATATTACATCACTATTTTTGATTGGCATGATTGAATTTTTTGTACTTTTAATCACTATGTTGATGATTAGATTTTATTTTAACCATAGAGGAAAATAACAGATGAAACAATTACAGCAGATAACCAAGAAAATAGTAATAATATAACAGCATTTCTAAAAATAAGAAGCCTTTTTTTGAAAATTTTAACCTGAAAAATAAACCCAAACAAGGTAACAAAAGGGGCTTTACAGATAGTGTATTGACCTCTGAGCTGTCTACCATGGAAATGTTTTAGGAATTCATATAGCCGTTGCAATGGGGGTAATAAGGAGGCCTTATCTAAAATTTCTGTTCTAAAACAGAAAATCAAAAACTAAACAGGCAAATTTCCAGATAATTTCAAAACCGTCGTCTCGGTACCTTAAAGGAAAACCTTTCTTAGGTTCTCTCTTTTGTGGAGAGCCACCCTCCTCCCCACCCCGACCCCTTTCTTTTCCTTACAAAAATGTCCTGCACGCCTATTTTGATTAAATTACAGTTTTTTAAACGTTGAAACATTCTTTTATTATTGATCATTTTTTCTCCTTTTTATTGCATTATTTATAATCTTCGGAATTAATTATTCTACCTACACAGGTGTAATGGAACGCGTCATTTGATTTTCATATCAAGATCATCATCAAAATACCAAAAAAAAAAAATAATTAATTTAATGAAGAAAATTGTATAAAATAAAAAGTCATCCTGACCTTACAATGGCTGGAGCCACTTCCTGTATTCCTTCGTTGTTTCGTCGAAGAACGGTCAAATTGCAGGTATATTGGTGGCTTTTCTTCTTAGAATATTTCTACATCCTTGTAGTAAAGTTTATCAGAATTTTGGAGCATAAGCAAAAAAAAGTATATCAACCTGCAAATGCAAACAAACCCAGAAAATGATGTTTATGAGATAGTTGAGTCAATCTTGCATTAAATATCTTCATCATCAGTAATTCATCATGGTAATGTTCCTAAACCAATAAC